CTGTGCTTAGCAAAGACAGTGGTATTAGTAATCCTTTATGACAAGGGGCTTGACTCTGCTGAATCGCTGAACAAGGTTCTTTTTAAGTAAAATTTGAGTTCGATCTCAAGGCATCAATCAGCCAAGAGGAAAGTATGAACCAGCCAGAACATTTATATTTCATTAAAAGAAGTCAGTCTCCTTTTAGTACTCCCCTCTCTGTCCTTGTTCTCACAGGGATTATGTCTTCATCAGGCAGCCCAGATTATTACCTCATCGAGGGGACTTACTTTCCATTAGCCTTATCTATGATCTTCTCAGGGAGACAGTGGCTTGCTTGATCATTGTTGGCTCAATATCCTTATCAGGTCTGCATTCCTACTACAATATCATTCATACTTTTGTTATCAAAATAGTTTATCAACTTGCTTCTCTTTCCTTATTTCTTATGAAAAGATCATTTCAATAACATTGTTTTGGAATAACCTCATACAATAATACTTTGATATAAGCCTTTTGACCAAGGACAGGAAAAACTAACAGATAAAAATAAAAGTTAAATGACAAAATAATGTGAAACACTTAAAATATGTGTTACTCAACAGAATCTTAACAATTAATGTAACGGAGCTACTGGTACCACATTTTATTACTGGTACCAATACTCATCAGAATCTCCTACATCAGAGGTCTAAGGGAAGCACTGAGGCCACACAGTGTGCAATGATGGGAAAAGGAGTAGGAGCACCTCAGACATTCAAATAATGGAGCTACCAGTGGTAAAATGATGAGGAGAAAGTGGTGTGAGAGGCCACCTGAGGGTGCTTTGGCTTCTTCCCATTCAGCCCTACTGCCACCCATATGCATCATTACACTTCAGGTTGACAGTTCAGTGGGGAAATGAGAAATTTCACCAGTTAAGAAAGGAGTGGGTTAAGGGAACGTTAAGGCTACTGAGTTGATAAGGCCCAAGATATTGTCTGCTTAGAAGATGTTTTTAATTCTCAGTAGGAGGGAAGTACTAAAAAGTGCCCAAGTAGCAGAAACTGGGAAATGGCAGTTTAGGATGAGGGATAGATGAGAAACTTTTTAGGCTGCTTCCAAGTGACTCAGTCTTGCTCAGTACGACAGGACACGTGGTAGGGATTCTGTCATATGGAAGCTAAAATAGGAATATTAATTTGCATCTTTGTCATTATTAAATAAGAGCCAAGATATTTCCAGAAACATTAATACATATTACTGTTTTTGAATGACTAATTCTTATTTTATATAATTTGCTATCATGATGAAATATATTAATCAGTGTGCATCTACTTGCAGACTTGTGGTTCTGCCATAAGTAGTCCAAAGTGAATTGTTAATTACCACGTGGTTAATCCTAAAGATTTTTTCACATATAAACTTAAGAAATGTAAGCATTATAAAAAAAATAAGTGTATGCTACTGAATATGTATCCTGTATGAATAAATATGGTTAACCACATATAGAAACCACATATCTAATATTCTCACAATATAAAATTAATGTCCCTCCATGGAATCTATACTTCTTTGATGAAAACAATCTACACCTCATCTCTCTACATCTCTTCAATGAAGACAAATACTGTTATCCACTTAGCACTTCTTTCTCTTTCTTTAAAATAAAAAAAGTAGTAATTTCACACCAGAATCAGCAAACCTCCTAAGGTCATACAAAGATTGTCTATAATGAGAAAAAAAAAAGTAATAGAAACTCTTAATGGTGCATTTTACTAATCCAACTATATAGTAAGAGGGAAAATATTTTCCATCATACTGTGAGCCTAAGAGAACTTCTATACACTAATATCTTCTTAAACTAATAATAAGCTCAAAAAATATTTCAGTGCAGTGAGTAGTTTTCAGTTATAAAACTGAGTCTGTACTACAACATTCATAGTATTCCTCTTCACCAGGTTATTTACCCTCTTGTTACCAATTTTGATATGTGTTAACAGGAAATGATTCACCGTCACTGATCTCCAGTGTCAGACCTATGAATCACTTCTTTCTGACTAGAATGGAAACGAGGATGTAAAAGTGGAAATGGTCTGAGAGAATGACAGCCTTTCTTGAAGGGCAAGTGAAGGTTCAGTGACCTCTGGGTACTCTGGTCCATTCTGGTGAATCACTGCTTTGGGGAAGCAAAAGGCCCTGTGGCTCATAAAACCTGATGATATTAAAAAGAGGTAAGGAATGCACACTTAGGTGTCAGGGTCACTGCTAGAAATACAAGTTTAAAAATTCAAGGGTAAGGAAAAATACCATATTTAAAAATGAATTACTAGTGTTTTTTTCTTTTAAAGGTATTGGGAAAATCCATATCATATAGATATTCATTACTTATTCAATGTACACCAGTGAGAGATAAATAGAACTGTTAGAATACAAAAATGCCAAGGGTAATTCAACTCCTGCAATGTAAGTGTGGCATAACTGATTCGTCATGACACACAATTTTCTAAAAGCTATTCTGTTAGAAGGCAATAAATGAGTGCATAAATGATTTACACTCTTCTGAACCATGGTTATTATTCAGTATTTTATTTTAAAAATATATACACCCTATACTATTATGTTTATTCTCCAGAGTATAATAAAAACATAATTGAATTTGATGAAAAATAGCCTTGATTCTAAATGTAACATACAGCAAATACAACTACTCCCTTATTTTATCCCTAGTGAAGATCAATGGTCACTTGAGGTGGCTCTGTTCTAGGTTCGTTTTAATATATAGGCAATAAAATATTTTTAATTTAAAAATTATATCCTTACATTCCATATCATATTTTCTTTTTAATACTAACATCTGAGCTCTGACCTAAATAGCAACTTATGAATGCAAAACTCTATATTTTAATCACTGTTTCACTTGTAAATATGATTTTTTATTGACCAGGTAGGGCAGGAAATGAATTACAGATGGTTTACAAATAAAAATGAAGTAGCTTAGGAAAAAAGCATCAGAATTCAGTGACTTGTTTTGTTCTGATGGAACCTACGTGGCATTATGAAGGGATAAGGTTACCCTTTTAAAAAATATTTAAGACTTGTTTTAATATAAGCATATCTAAAATTTAAGCAATGATTTGTTAATGTATGTAAGCTAATACTATTTTTATTTATAAGCTCCTTTGGACTAGAAATTGTGTTATGCATTATACAAATATATAGCGAATAATTACATACATACTGTAATTAAAACTTAATCCATTCAATTTTATGTACAATATAAAAATACCCTTCCTACAGTGAAGTCACATATATGCTAATGATATACTATCTTCTAAATATATATTACATATAATATATTTTATTACTTTAACAAGATATTAAGGTAGAAAGGTTCTCTTAGGAACACAATGTGACAAATAACAGTTTTTCTACTCTTCCTGTCCAGTTGGATATTTTTTTTTTTATAATATAAGAGCAAATATAAATTAAAAAATAAGAGACTTAATTCTACCTGTTGAAAATATGGGAAGATATTTCTCTCTTAAAGCATTTACCTTAAACACTTACAAAGATAAGTACTATTTCAACTCTTTGAAATGTGTCCCTTAACAACTCTTTGAAATGTGTCCCTTAACAAAATCCTGATAGTCCTTTCTAGCCTTCTCTGACAGGATTGTCTTTCTCAAAAACTTGGAAACCATCTTTCAAAATGCAAATACCAAGGGAGATAGCTCCTTCATCGTGTAGTTCCTTTGGGAGAATAGGAACCAAACTTTGCTGGGTTCCTTATTCCAACTTGCACAATTACCTCTTGTCTAAAGAGCAGTCTATTGCTCAATATTAATCAATTGCTAACACAGGTGATCTTTACCTATTATAGTTAGGACAAACTATGGTGACAAAATGTGCTGTAGAATCTTCTATTTGAGCACCACTGATTATTTTGAAAACATGTATGCAAAGGCTGTACTTACAATGTCATATAAAATAGTGAGATTTTTCGGCTTATGCAATCTCTCGGAAGATTGCCTGTGATGCACACTGCATTCTGGTTTAATGCTTGTGGAACAATAAAAGTATTTTCTTTCTCTCTGCCTTTGTGGAGAGAATTTCTGAAACTGAAGATTTTGGTTTCAGCTATGACCCTTTCAACACTGTGTTATCTTTTGGATTTAAGTTATTTGTACTTAGTGTTATAAAGATGAAAAATTAACTATTTTTGTTCATTAAAGCATAACGGAAGAACTACAGAAACATAATGCTAGTCTGATTTTTTACATTCAACATCACTGTAACTGAAATTTAAACAAAGAAACATTACTACATATCATTCTCCAATAGAAATCTTTACTGTGGTTTGAAAATTTGTAACCTATAGCAGATTAGAATATTTGACCAAAAGTGTCCAAATAAGGGAAATGACTCTAGAGTTCACAAATAAAAATGAAGACAAAAATCTTTTCAATTAAAGAACAAGAATTAGTGGGAAACTACTTAGCTGTCCTTGCTTCCCTCAATGTTTATTAACACCAACATCTTGTTGGTAATAGAAGACTAATTTGGCAGAAAAAGATGACTCCCTAGCCTCACAAGTAAGTGAGAACAAGGCTTAAAATGACAACTGTTACATAAAATAATTTATATTTAATATTGTTTTCAGCAACGCAAGCAATCCTTTGACTTATATTATCATTTTAATATCTTAATTTCTGGCTTAGCCAACAAATAAGAATGTTTAAATCTAAACACATTAATGTAAAAAACCAGGATACTGATACTAGCAAATTCCAAGAAATCATTTCATAGATTTGATAAGTGTTAATTTATCTATATGAAGACAGTGTTTCTATTTTCTAGTCTTGTCAGATAAGGTTAATGGTTAAATTATATAAGAGGGAGGGTATAACCTATTTTTTTAGGACAGCTAATAATTAAAACAAAATTATCTAGGAGTAGGAAACTAAAATGAGTTGAGGTTAATAATGTGTAAATGAACATGAAACCAACTTGTTTAAAATAATTAGCAGTATTTACTTTACCTTGCAGCATTTTGTTCCATCTTTTCATCAAGGTCACTGAAGATCTGCTCAAACTCCAAATCTCCAGGAAATGAATTTAACAAGCAGTGTAGGTCAAAAGAATTATGGGGATATTCTTCTCCCCAATCCATTCTGAGAATTAAAGATAAAAAAACATGTCAGTACTCCCAAAATAAAGGGAAGAAAACACCTCAAGAATGTTGTAAGAATAAATCAAACGTAATTCCCATTTATAAACAAAATGAAATATAGCACCAGGAGATCTAGGGCATTATTAAAATAGGCAGAGTTTTGTTTGTTAAATTCCATGAGATGTGGCCTAATTTTCACAGTTCTCTAAGCTTTAACAGCCGAACAAAACAGCACCCCTCAAAGAGTACTTGAGCATACGTTGCTTCTCACAGTAACCAAGAGCGAGGAAATCACGAAGCCTAGTAGACCACTGAGAACAAGGATGCTTGGTACAAGAATTCAATACCTCCCTTCTACTCTTGTCAGTGGAATGCCCTATAAATTGTAGCCTCATAATTTTGGTGTCATTCTGTAAATATGATAATGCATTCTTTCCATTCTTCTAAAATCCCTGAAAACTGAACTATTGATAACTAAAATATTAATAACATACATTATTAATATAGTAATATGTCAAAAATATATTTTGCTGTAGTGTAGTTTCTATGCCTATGGTTTCATCAGTGGTCTAAATCTCTCTACTTTCTATCTTCTGGAAACATAACAATGGCAACTTACAATGCTTTCAGTTACTTTTTTATGTTTTTTACTGGCAGTGGTAACTCAGAAGGGCAAAATGGTAAATGTGTATGCTTAATTCTCTATTTTCAGAATTCATCTTTCAGTTTCTCATACTATAGCAAATATATGAAAATTATGCATACCATATGATTCAAGCAATTTCACTTATAGATATATACCCAAAGAATACAAAAACATTAAAGGGAGATTTATTGCATCACTATTCACAATAACCTAGTCAAGGAAACAATTTAGTGTCCAAAGGACAGTGAATGGATTAGCAAGAGAAACATGATAGAATAGGATTCAGCTATCAACAAAACAAAATGAAAACTCTTGCCATTTGCAACAATATGGATAGAACTAGAGGGGATGATGCTAAAGCTGCCTGGATGTCTCAGATCTAGGGTTAGCTTTTAAAGTTTGATCTCATTTGAACTTTTCTTGGTCTCTCGTATTCTGCATCTAAGTGAAACCATTTGGAATTTATCTTTTTCCCCTCTGAATTATTTCACTTAGCATAATCCCTTCTAGGTCTATCCATGTGCTGTAAATCATGAACTTATCATTTTTGATCACTGACAAATTTTCCATATGTCTATATGTCTATATACCTCATTTTTTTTTTTTTGAGCCATTCATATGTTTTGGGGCATTTAGGTTGTTTCCAGATCCTGGCTATGTAAATAGTGCTGCAATAAACACAAGCATGCAAGTTTCCGTTAGATTAGTGATTTTCTGTCTTCTGGGTAGATTCTTAGGCGTGGAATTGCTGGGTTTTATGACATATCCATTTTTTAGTGTTTTGATTCACCTCCATACGGCTTTCCATGATGACTGAACCAGTTTACATTTCTACCAGCAATGTAAGAGGATTCTTTTTCCCTCTACACTCTTGCAAGAATTTCTTGTTTCACTTTTTTTTGTTCACAGGGGACATTCTCATTCATGTGAAGTGTTATCTTACTGTAGTTTTGACCCACATTTGTCTTATGATAAGTGACGACGAACATTTTATCATCAAACTAAATTTCCCAAAATATGAATGGATCAAAAAATGTGGTATATAGACACAATAGAATACTTGTCAATGATCAAAAAAATAAACTCATGATTTGCAGCACTTGAATAGAGCTGGAATGTCTTGTTCTTTTTGTTTTTCTCTTTTGTAAGCAGCTGAAATATTTGCACGTTTGTTTTAATTTACATCATACTTACAGCATATCATTGTCTATAAGATTATTTTAGAGTTACATTATTTTGACCACTAAAGTCAAAGTTAATGTTGAATATTTCCAAAGTATAGCCTAGAAATATTGATTATTTAATAAGACAATATTCAGGGCCCTCCCTGGTGGTGCAACAGCTTAGGACGCAGCACTGCAAGCTGGCTGTAGCCGCTTCAGTGCAAGTTTGATCCCTGGTAACCCACATGGTGTGGCAGACCTCTCCTGACCTGCCCACTGCTGCCCTCAGTAATGTACTTTATCAATCTGCCTGTTCTGCTCCCCACTCTATCTCTAGTGAAACCTCTCACAGCCCCTGCACCTCTGGACTGGACCCTTGTTCTGTGTTCATAAATAAATAATTTTTTTTTAAAAAAAAAGATAGTATTCTACTAATTAGAATCTGAGGACTTGTAGACTAGTATTTAGTTTTGATGTTATGGTAAAATAAATGACAATAACACATGCTGGGCACTGATAAATGACAAATAGACAGTTGGCAAGAGAGTGAATAAAACCTGTACCATAATCTGCACCTCAATCCTCTGTGTTCTTCACTTTTCATGTGTACACTATAACTTAATGGTAGTTAAAAGACAGACTTAAAAAAAAAAAAAGCAAGGGTCGAGTGATGACAACAAGTAATAATTTTTAGCTCATAGCAAAATTCAGATAAATTACTGAACAGACTGGCTAGTACTTAAGGAGTTATTAAGGTTGTGAAGAAGTCACTTAAAATTTGTAGTTAGTCTCTCTGAAATACTATAGGAAATATATGAGGATAAAAATGACAATAAATCGGTGTATCTGGAAATATCCCTCTTAAATTACATGTGTCTACTACAAGCACATTTTAAAACAATGAAAATATAGCACATACATTTTAACTTAACATGGTAACAGTGAAGTGAGTAAAATATTTGTACAGTACATACACGGGGAGCTTAAAATGAAATTATTAACTACAGTATAAAAGCAGTTTTACTGTCTTTCACAGAAATGGAATAATGTTCTTTAGTCAATCTTTCATATTACTGTATTTTGCCCAAGTAATATTGCTACTCAAATTACACAGGTAGACTAGAACAAATTTGCTAAGAAAGGAAATCTAATTGTGAAGTTTACTAAGTTGTTTGCTTGAGTTATAAGAGTTGAAATCTTGAGTCATTTTGGCATATTCTTGTCTGTTACTTTAATATAAATGACTTCTAACATAAGAGAAATGGTGATGGATTCTTTTTAATTACAAGTATTTTTCTTCATTTTAAAATTATTCTAAGCAAATGTCCAAAAATTTTCCATCCTTCATAATAGTTCTTTTATTTACATTTATTATGACATACAAACATATTTTTGAGGAACTACTGAAGATTTTTTTTTCATGAATGTTTACTAGACATGCAGGTTGTTTCTTTAAAAAAAGGGAATACAGGCCCTCCCTGGTGGCTCAGCGGGTAAAAGCTCAGCACTAAGAAACTATAGCTGTTTCAACATGAGTTCAATTCCTGCCCTAGAGGTGATCCATATGGCACAGCAGACCTCTCCTGACCTGCCCGCTGCTCCCCTCTGCAGTGTACTTCGTGATATGCCTGTTTTGCTCCCCACTCTGTCTCTGGTGAAACCTCTCACTGCCCCTGCACCTCTAGCCTGTACCCCAGCTCTGTATGCATAAACAAATAAATCTTTAAAAAAAAAAAAAAAGGGAATACATCCCTAAACATCCTTCTGAGATGACTAGGCATTCTGGTATTTGTATGATTTTAGAGATAAAGAATAAAAGACACACACACTAAGCAACCATGTTTCAAAAGGGCTTGACCTGAATTCTTTAGGACACTAGATATTAGTGGTTTAAAAAATATCTACAGTATGGCCCTCCCTGGTGGCGCAGCGGGTTAAAGCACAGCACTGAGAATCTAAAGCCGTTTCCGCATGAGTTCCATTCCGGCCTGCCCCCGGAGGTGGCCACATGGTGTGGCAGACCTCTCCTGACCAGCCCGCTGCTCCCCTCAGCAGTGTACTTTGTCAATCTGCCTGTTCTGTTCCCCAATCTGTCTCTGGTGAAGCCTCTCGCCAACCCGAGCCTCTGGCCTATACCCCAGTTCTGTATGCACAAATGAATAAATAAATCTTAAAAAAAAATATCTACAGTATAATTGAATAAATATATAGTTGTTCCTTAATTTTTAAATTTATATACCTAAAAATGTATATCATATCCATAATTACCTAAACTCAGATCTATTTGGCTTTATAGCTGGTTTCTTACAAAATGAATTACTTACTGCATACAAACATTGCTTTGTTTAAGAAATATTAACCAAAATGTGAACATAGTTCTAGGATATTTATAATATTGTTGATATTAATTTCCTTCTTTATGCTTAGCATTTTCCTGTTTTTCAACAAGTTATCACTTTACATTTTACTGGAAGAGAAACAAACCTGTTATCAGGGGGCCTAATGAGATTTTTATTTTTAAAAATTTATTTATTTATACATACAGAACTGGGGTACAGGCCAGAGGGGTGGAGGATGAGAGGAGTCACCAGAAACATAGTGGGGAGCAGAAGAAGCAGGTTGACTGAAATACACTGCTGAGGTGACAAGTGGGCAGGTCAGGAGAGGTCTGCCACACCACGTGTGTCACCCCCTTGGACAGGGCTAGGACTTGTGCTGCAGTGGCTGTGATAGCTTCATAGTGCTGTGCTTTAACCTATTGTGCCATCAGGGAGGACCTGATCTTTTTTTTTTTTTTTTATAGTTTCTATATTTGTAACATCTTGTAATCTTGTAATTTTGTCAATTTGCATTCATCATTTTTTCAAAATCAAAAAATATAATTTCAGGCCCTCCCTGGTGGTGCAGCGGGTTAAAGCACAGCACTGGGAGGCTAAAGCCACTTCCGCATAAGTTCGATTCCCGCCTGCCCCGGAAGTGACCACATGGTGTGGCAGACCTCTCCTGACCTGCCCACTGCTCCCCTCAGCAGCGTACTTCGTCGCTCTGCCTGTTCTGCTCCCCACTCTGTCTCTGGTGAAGCCTCTCGCCACCCCTGAGCCTCTGGCCTGTACCCCAGTTCTGTATGCACAAATAAATAAATCTTAAAAAAATATATATAATTTCAAAATAACTCTTGGCTAGGAACATTTA